TAGTTGTTTTTGCATTTGAAGGACATGTAAAAGCACTTTAGAGGTTTTCCTTGTGCCAAGAGCACATATGGACACCCTTATGCTTAAACATGGTGTTTGTTATGGACAATCCATGACGAGCACAGAAATCCAACAACAGAACACCACTCGGGTTCAGACCAGGGGGGCCGTTCCTCCCAACCACACCCCTCTAGGTCTCACTGTCATTGCCCACATGAGCATTGAAGTCCCCCCAGCAGAACAAGGGAGTCCCCAGGAGGTGCATTTTCCAGTACCCCCTCCAATGACTCCAAAAAGGGTGGATAATCTGAACTGCCATTTGATGCATAAGCACAAACAACAGTCAGAACCCGTCCCCCCACATGTAGGTGGAGGGAGGCTACCCTCTCATTCACTGGGGTGAACCCCAACATACAGGCACCAAGATGGCCAATAAGTATGCCCACTCCTGCTCAGCACCTCTCACCAGGGGCAACTCCAGAGTGGAAGAGTGTCCAACCCCTCTCAAGGAAACTGGTTCCAGAGCCAGAGCCATGCGTTGAGGTGAGTCCGACTATTTCTAGCCGGAACCTCTCAACTTCACACACCAGCTCAGGCTCCTTCCCCACCAGTGAGGTGACATTCCACATTCCAATAGCCAGCTTCTGTAGCCGAGGATCAGACCACCAGGGTCCCCGCCCTCGGCCACCACCCATGCCACATTGCACCCGACCCCTTTGGCCCCTCCCACAGGTGGTGAGCCCATGGAAAGAGGGACCCACGTCTCCTCTTTGGGCTGTGCCGCGCCAAGCTCCATGGGTAAAAGCCCGACCACCAGGCGCTCGCCCGCATGCCCCACCTCCAGGCCTGGCTCCAGAGTGGGGCCTCGGTGACCCACGTCTGAGCGAGGGAACATCGAGTCCATTTATTTTTCTCATTATAGGGGTGTTTTGGGCTGCACTTTGTCTGGTCCCTCACCTAGGACCTGTCTGCCTTGGGTGACCCTACTAGGGGCGTGAAGCCCCTGACAGCATAGCTCCTAGGATCATTGGGACACTCAAATCTCTCCACCACGGTAAGGTGGCAGCCCACGGAGGGGTATTTTTTTTGTTGTTGTCTAAGAAAAATATTTTATACTTAACGATGAATAAAGTTGTTTTGTTTGTCAACATTGTCTGATTGGTGACGTATTTCCACCCTGGGGCACAAAAATCTTTGCCCATAGACTCTCATTAAAAGTTGTACATGCACAGTTAGCTCCTCTTCATTATAAGATATAGGACCATTCTGGGCGCACCTCTCCTGTGCCCAGAGTTGAATGCACATTACGGATCGTGCTTCCGAAAAAGATCATGCAGTGACACTTACAACCAGGCTATGTGTAAGAGAGGCTAGCTGCTGCAGGTAGGCTTTAAGCCATTGAAAGCCCTTTCTCTAATGCCTATGTTGCCATTTCTGATTGATATGCCTCTCAAATTGTATACATACACACACACACACAGACATACTTACATACATACATGAATCTCTAAGCAGAATAATCACTGAAAAATCACAACATGTTGCTGCTGATCTCTTTCACGTTGCTGTGTTCATTCATCTGCTACCACAGGCTCATGTTCATGCTGCTGTTCGGCGTCATATTTTTAGGTTTTTTGTCATGATCAGCGGCCCCCGCTGGCCCCTCATCTGCTCACTTCCTTGCCACTTCATGACATGCCATGTTTTCTGCCCTTCTGGTCATAGTTTATGTTCATGTTTATTATTCTCATCTCCTGTCAACCTGCATCTCTGCCTGCTCACTTCAACAAACCCCCTCAGCCTATCACAGCAATCAGCCCTGATTCCACTCACCTGTTCAGCTCATCTAGATCACCTGCTCTGCACCCTTTATAAGATCCATTCTCCCTCTCCAACAGTGCAAGATTACCACACCTTCCATAGTCCCTGATTTTCAAGCCTTCACAGTTTCATGCCTAGACATCAAGCCTTGCTCTCTGGATTATTGACCTCACGCCTGTTTCCTGGATTCTTCGCTTTGCCCGTCCCTCTTTTGGATTTTTGACTTCATATCAGACCACAGTAAACAACTCTGCTTTCCCTCCATGACTACGATTACGGATTATGACTTGGCTCTGGTTTCTGCTCTCTGTTTCCCCGTGTATGTCCACTGCTTTGTTATCTGGACCCTGCTCTTGGACTTGACCCTCCACGAACCATGTACTGAAGCTGCTCTGCAGTGACGTCATTGTTGACAAGTGACTCTCTCCCTACAGCCTGTGAGGACCTGTTAACACTCCTGATCCTGACTCCAGCAACTGGCAGCAAAAATAAATAAAAACTGTTCTTTTCATTCTTGTTGTCTGGCTGAGTTTGAATCCTAAAACCTTGCTTCGTGACACTTAGTTCTTAGAAAAACATACACTAAAAATACGCTTAGTTCAAATCTTAGATCTTATTACTGTTTTTTTTCTTTTACATTTTATTGTGGGATGTAACTGGGACCCTGCTTACATAATCTCATTCTGCCACATGTACCACATGTGGTGTGTATGACAAATAAATCTGACTAAATGAATCTTGAGAAATTTGAAGGACACAAACAACTCTAATGGTTTAACTTGTATTTGATGTCTTTTGCAACCTTTCACAATATATTATTAGAAAAGCTAATTAAAATCTTTCTATTTTCCTACCAGATGCAATGTGGACAGCAAAGTGTCACGAATGGCTTGGCTCAATCGCACCACCATACTCTTCGCAGGAAGTGAGAAATGGTCTCTGGATCCTCGAGTCATCTTGATGGAAAACACTGCTGTCACAGAGTACAGCATCATGATTGAAAATATTGATGTTCATGATGAGGGGACCTATGTCTGCTCCATCCTGACTAACAAAAAACCAAAGTCCACAAAAGTGCATCTCAGCGTTCAAGGTAAGATCCTTGCCTCCTCAAGAACACTTAGTCAAAAATTATAAATGCATAGGTAGTGGTCTGTTACTTACCTTTATCTGACTGATGTACAAATTCATATTTAGAATTTTGAAATAAACAGGAAATAAACAGGAACATTTTTAGGATGCTGTTTAATATACCATATTATTTTACATCATTGTTTAGCATATATTGTTTCGCTTACCCGAGTGAGGTAGATACAGGGCACGTGCCACACCCTCACTGCAGCCTTCTCCTCCCAGGTGTCTTAAAACCAATCCTAAGGCTCAAGTATTACCCACAGCTGTTTTTTAGGACAGTTTCAGTCTAAGGCTGTGTTGAGATGATTCACCCAGACTGTTAACTGCCTCCTATCTGTGCACCACACCCAAAATCTCACCTCGTGCCACGCCCGACCTAGCAGCAGGAGTAGGGACATTCGACAGACGAGGAAGCGCACGTTCACGGTAGCTCATCTCCTGATTTAGCGTTGCAATTGTTATTCGATCTGGTTTTGTTTAGAATCTAGGTATAAGATTCATGGATGTTGTTTTATAATCAAAGCTATGAAACCTTTAAAAACCTCCTATGCTTTTGTTGTTACATTGAACCAAGTTTTTCCACTTCCATGAACAAAGGGGTGTTGAAATAAGAATCCAGAATTTTACATTTAGCTTTGCTTTAATCAATGATTTTGCAGGGGGAAACAGCGGTAAGCACAATCCAACACAGTGAATTCAATTACAGAGGATACATGCTGATTAATAAATGATTCAGAGATTTAGTTGGACTCCAGAGGTTGATCAGTCTGTTTGGCAAGGCAGTTCTCGGGTCCAGTGGAGAGCTGAAGAAGCTGACCACACCCTAGGAGTTCCTGGGGTCGTCCTGTCGCTCTTAAACACCCAAAAACCTCCACAGACTCCCCACACTCACAACCTGACCCAATATGTTATCTCTCACCACTTCAACCAACCTTTGGCAACCCCAAGCAATCAAATCTAAAATGTAATTGATCTCTCTGCTTGCAATTTTGTGAGCTACCGCTCTGAACTGAGATAAAAATTGATAAAGGACAATATCTTTGAGACGTCTTCTTACCATAGCTCTCTGGTGGAATTCCTAAAAATTCCGGCTCAGTAAGAAGCAGATTACCTCACCCACTCTTGAATGAGGCCGTCCCAGGTCCAACAGCTGTTCAGAATTTGAAGAAAAGGGTTCGGGTAATGATCCGGGCTGAGGAGGAAAATAACTCCAAACGAAGCCTTCCCTTCGGATCTGCCCTATTTCTTCCTCAGCAGGAACCGTCCAAAACTTGTCCTGTACATCCACACACTCCGGTAGTCCATCAGCCCCAGTTTCACAACGTCATCTATATTTATAGAGCGAATGCTATAACACCTCTGAAAGATCATGCCACCCGTTAAATCCCACCTTTTGGGTTGGATTTGGCGTAGGATCTTTATGCATGTCTATGGGAGATGGTTACGTCACTCTCATACATATTAAAATCTGAGTGTAACTTTATTCTGTCTGGTTTTAGTCCGGACTTGTCTGCTTCAACATTTGAGTTGTTTTTCTCTTTTGTTTACCTTATCAGGGTCTATGTTTGCTTGGAGCTGCTTTAGGTTCGTTATTGTGAAACTCTCTTTCTTGCATAACTCATCCTTGTACATTATTTCTGAAAAACACTTCTGAGAAGACAGTTCACTTTCATCTTAATTTCACAACATCATGAAATGAACAAAATCCATTTTTTTAAATCACAAAAGATTATAATATCAACTTGATTATTTACTTGATTTCGTTTGTAAATCAACAATTCATTTTTATTTATTTAAAAAATGACAATTTCATTGGGAAAAAGTCTTCTTATTTCTCCTTCACTCTTCTCATCATTGCTTCTCTCTGCCCGTGTGTGTGTGTGTGTGTTTGAGTGTAACTACATGCGTGTGTGTGTGAGTGTGTATGTGCCTTCATGTGTGTGTATATGCTGCGTGTATGTGCTTTCTGCATCTGCTTTCCATTAACTTAGCCTGGAAACTTCGGTACTTCCCACATAGGCCCGAAACAAGAACATGTCTGGGGGCAGGCTGACTTCCACTTCAGCGGCCTTATTGACAATATCTTAGATCCTTGCATACTGTTTCTTTTTATAGTTTAGATTTTGCTTTTTTCGGGTGCAACTGGGAGTTTGAGTACAAAATTTTGTTCCACCTCATGTACCACATGTGATACAATGACAATAAACAACCTTGAACTTGAACTTTTTCTGACAAGTGGCGCAGTACCTCATATTCTTGGTCACAAGTGATGGTAATGTAGGGCAGGAGATGTAGCCTTATCTGCAGTAATAAGAGCAATGCTTTGTTCATAAAGAAAAGCTCTCAATTTAGTTGTATGTCTCAGAGAAGAGCTTCATATTAGAGGGACTCTTGAGTACAATTCTTTGCTCCTTTGCATTAAAAGGAAGTTTGGGCATCTGATCAGGAGCTTGATGTCCCTCACTCAGATGTGGGTTACTGGGTCCTGGCTGGGGAGAGCTCATTACCAAGGTTTATACCTGTATATGTAACTATATATTCAGAACAGGAAGATGACCTGAAGACTGGACAACTTCTATAATTATTCCCTTACCTATAAAGGGAAACCTTAGGAGGCACCAAAACTACTGCACCATTAGTATTACTAGTTATTCAAGCACAATTTTATTGAAGTATTGCTGAACATCTCCAAGCACAAGCTGAGGCATTGCTTACAGAACAAGCAGTGTTCCATAAAGGTCATCCAACCACTGCACAAATCGTTAACCTACAGCTGATTTGTGAAATTATACTAAGCTAGGCAAATCTGTCTACTATACTTTTGTTACTTACAAGAAGTGTTTTGACAGAGTTTGTCAAGATGGTCTTTGGACAATCATGAGACAGCTCAGCATTAGTAGAGGCAAAATCAATGCCACAGGGGTACTGTACAACGCAAAAAAATGAGGATGGTAATGTTCAGCAACAACTTCAGTGAGTGTTTTTCCAACTAAAGTTGACGTACAGCAATGATGCCTACTCTTGCCAACATTGTGTAAAATATTCTTGGAACATATCATATATATGAGCCACTGAAACAAACTGATCCCCCTCTAAAACCACCTGCTTCAACTGTTATTACCCATTAAATGTCCTTTATTAGTTATCATCCCATTGGTTGCATTGAGATTGCCCCTCCTGTACCTCCTATTAGGTTTAAAGGTATGTTGTTAGCGCTGATAAGAGGGTCACATGGTTAGGTTAAAAGTAAAGGGTCTGGGGGATAGGTTTAGGGTCTAGGGATTAGGTTTAGGGTTTGGGTTAGGCTTAGGCTCAAGGGTAAGGGGGTTAAGTTTAGGGTCAGTGCTCTGGGTCAGGTGTAAGGTTAGGTTTAGGAAAAGTGTCAAATAAAGCTAACAAAAACCCCTTCTTGTTTTATACGAGTGCGAAGTTGCGTATTATCAGTGATAACAACATACCTTTAAAACTACTAGGAGGTAGGAGGGACAGTCTGAACGAAACGTATGGGGATAATAACAATAATGCTCATTTAATGGGCTAATAACATCCGAAGCCGCTGGTAAAACTCTGAGAATAATGATCAATCTTTGCTTTGTCGATTACATAAACCTTATAAATATATCCACCAATGGTCAAGTTATTCAAGCAAAGAACGTAGACACTGTGAGATGTCTTGGCATGGAGATTAGCCTTGAGAACATCAGGACAATGGTATCTATTAAACAGGACCATTTAATGCCCCTTTTCCACCATGACAGCTCGGATCAGTTCGACTCGGTTCAGCTCAGCTCAGAAACCATCTGCAGCAAACTGGTTGGTCCACTTGAGTTTACTACTTGGTGAGGAAACAGTTTATTGGAACTCCTCTGACTGATGAAGCCCTCCGGATAGAGGGTGAAACATTTCTATAAAAAAAGAAACTGTCAAGATGACCCGACTGAGAATTATTGGATTTGGTGCCTGGATGATTGAGCATGAAAGTTGTTGGTTATTCTCCTTTATTTACACAAACTCTGTTTCATGTAACAGTGAAGGAATGGCTCTTTCTAAATATGGTAAATGGTAGATGGACTGCATTTACTTTTCTATCTGAACCAGACACTCAAAGCGCTTTACACTACAATCTGTGCCCTCATTTACCCATTCATACAGCACTCTTACTATTTCTGTACAAAGACTAATCAGTGCTTTATCCCAGTCATACACCGATGGGACACACATCGGATGCATTTAGGGGTTCAGTGTCTTGCCCAGGGACACTTAGGCATGTGACTGCTGGTGGAATCAAACCCCCAACTCTCGCATCGGAGGACAACTGCTCTAACCATTCAGCCACAGCTGCCCCAATGCAGATGACAAGGCTCTAGTGGCGCACCTGACCAGACCTGATACTCTGTCCCGCTATGAGCAGATAATCCATGGTCTCCTCATGACGTTCTCACTCAACTCGCTGGAGCTGAACATGTAAAAGACTAAGGAAGTGTGCTGTGGGGGTCAAGCCCAAACACCAGAACCTTTGTTTACACCCCTGACCATCCATGGACAGCAGGTAGAGCAGGTGGATGCTTTTAAGTACCTTAGCACAGAGATAGACACAAACATGTCTTTTTCACAGCACACTGACTCAATTTGTAAGAAGGCCTGACAACGTCTTTACCTGCTGAGGAAACTAAAGATCTTTCATGTCAGCAGGAGCACAATGACCTTGGTTTACAAGTCTCTGATCGAGTCCATTTTAACTTTTAATAATTCATCCTGGTTTAACTTCATCAATGTACTTTGTAAAACAGAAAGACAAATTACACAGAATAATTAACAATCAAGTGCAATAACTGGCTCACCTCAATGCCCCCATCAGACATCTACAACTGCTCAGTGACTAAGAAAGCCACCCTGATCACTGAGGACCCCTCACATCCACTCTGCAACTGCTTCCAGATGCTTTCATCAAACAGGCGTTACCGAGTCCCGCTGGCCAGGAAGAATATTTAAAATAAATAATTTGTACCGTACGCAGTAATGTTCTTAAACAAAGCTAAGTAGACACATCTTAATGGTGTTAACTAATGGCGATAATGTGGTTTTTATTATGTTCTATCGTTGGTTCTTGTGTATGTATGATGAATATAGTGTATCGAAGGAGAATCTCTGCCACAATTGTTGAAGACAATAAAGTTTTATCTTATATTATCTTACCTTAACGCAGTCCTTCTCAAATAGTGCCCCCCACCCCCCACCCCACCCCCGTGGGCATGTGACCTTAGAAAACATGCTTATTTTGCCGCAGGGAGTAATTTTTTTTTTTCACCATTCTCATTTTGTCAAGTGCGTTCCTAATAACAAATATGGCTGCCTTGTTGTTTTGGAGCCATGCTTGAACCGTGTCTCTCTCTTCTGCTGCTGAGAGATAAATAGACTCCGACACCTCCGCTGCATGTGTTTTATGTTCATGCGCTCTGGACGTCACTCACAGCGCACATGCAACTAAGAGTAAACTCAAAGCGAGAGCGACACCTGCCCCCTCTTTCCTCTTTTGCGTTGACAAAATGTTTTAGTTTTATGGAAAAGTTTGTCAAAGCACAATTTACAGAAGTAATGTTTAATAAATGTTAGGACTTTATGCTTTGCTAACAAAATTAATTCACCTCTTCAGTTAAGCTGCTGTTTTTTGATTCTCTGGACGTTTGTCACTCACAGCTCGCATGCGACAAAGAGTAAGCTCAAAGCGAGAGGATTACCTGCTCCTCTTTCTTCTTTCATGTTGACAATAATTTTTAGTTTTATCGATGAGTGTGCGCATTGATCCTGACTTCCTCATTTTGATAAAAATAATCAGCATAAATTGTTTTATTCATTTTTGTTTTGCAGGTCAAAGTGTTTTATCAAACACTCCTGAGTTGAAATGTTGCTGATCAATTTGAATTTATTATTATTTATTGATTATATTTAATTGTATTTTTCAGTATCAAATGGTCAAAAATGTTTACAGTTTAAAAAAGGATTGTTTGTTTTTCAGGCAAATTGATGCACTTTAAGTTGTTAGCACTGTTAATTCTTTATGGTCTTGGAGTCTGTTCCTTTCAGTCACTACTCTCTGGGTACCTGTTAAACCTTATAAGTTCAAGTTTAAGTTAAAGTTCAATTTACTGAGACATTTGCTGGTGATGCAGCTAGAGATCTCAGCACCGAACTGCAAAGAAATACATTCCTTTCCTAACGTATACTATAAGCTGATTTAGGTGGACAACTATTCTGTTTCCCTTGTTGGGCAATTGCTACACACATTCTGAAATCTTTCAACATAAAACTTTCTACTTCATGTGCTGCCACTTTAGCACTTTCTTTTCTTTTGTTTATTTAATTATGAAATATTTAAGCTTTTATCAAGTTCCTCATGTTGTTCTGCATTTTTATGTCTTCAAACTGTGACAATTTCATTTTCATTTATTAAGTATTTTTGTGCAAAGGTTTGCTTTGCAAATATTCTTCCATAAAAAAAGCAAACAATAAAATAAAAAAATATATATAAAAACATTCCAGCCAAAGGCAAAAAAAATTTAAATAATAAGAAATTAAGTTATAGGAATTATTGCTTTTTAAAAATATCATTAAAAAATCTCCAATAATAATAATAAGTGCTATGTGTTATCATTGTATGTTCTCATTCATTGGCGAAATTGATTCTCTGCATTTAACCCGTCGCACCTGAGATACACCCAGGTGGAGCAGTGAGCAGCTATGTAAGCGCCCGGGGAGCAGTTAATAAATGTTGAAATAAAAATTCTCGCTTTATCTATTTTACTCAAAAGGAGCCACACTCGACAGCAGGAGATTTTTAACCAGTATTTACTTGCAAAGTCAGATTTTCATGACAGGTTACACAGATATACAGGAAGTACACACATGAAGACCAGTCACTAGAAGCTGCCACAAGCTGTGTGTGAAGCTCGTTTTTATACTTTTAATCTATTCAGCCAAGCTCACGGACTCAGAGGCGTTCTTGAAGCGACAGCTGCATGCAGCCACCTCACCCAACAACTCATTCAGCTTTCTACTAACCCAAACATACGGCTGCTGGGCAGAGTTAACATTCTCTGCCATAGTAGTTGAAAACGTCCATAAACTTTGACCAAAAAAATCCCTAACAATTCACAATATATAGATATTTTGCTAATGGGATAATCAAATGAACAAAAACACACAGATGTTGGGGAAATGATCAACAGGCTTTCACTTCTGTGACAAAATTCCACTAAACTTTCTCATGCAATCATTTAAGTAAATTTTGAGCAATGTCATATCATTTGCTCGTCTAATAAACTGTGTGGAAAAAATCACTACAAAAAAAATCCAACGTATAGCATCACAGTGAGCCAAAGAATTGTCAGATTTGTCAGCTGATTTCATGCTAATTAAGTACCAATACTATTGATACTGTACATGTATTCACATCATATCTCTCCTCGCTTATAACTTTAGCTCCCATGCTAGTGTCTCTCTAATAAGACTGACAAAAGTAATCCTATTTTTTGTTTCTTTCTTTAGTACCTGCCAGGATCACTAACATTTCAAAGGACACCACAGTGAACGAGGGCAATGATGTCAATCTTTTCTGCCAGGCTGTCGGTCGACCAGAAGCAAATATCATTTGGAAGCATCAGTCACCAGGGGGTAGGACATACATTTTGTTGGACAGTTTACACACAGAAAACTGATTTGTTTGTTGATTTGTAAACTTTTCTTAACTTCATATATTTTGGCCTTTTTTTTTCATGCAATGCTACAAAAACACTTTGTAACTTCACATGCTAGTGCAAAGTTTAGGATGCAGCAAGTATTAAACTAGTAAAAATGGTTTGATTTTAAGCTTGACTCGTGACATCAACTGGATTCTTTTTTTCAGGAAAGCATCCCATTTACAAATCTTATTAGAACAGAACAGTGGTGTGGATTCAAGTCACATGACTTGGACTCAAGACAGACTTGAGTCATTAATATTATCACTTTAGACTTGATTTGAAAAAATGTTCAGAGACTTATGACTTGACTTGGACTTTTACACCAATGTCTTGGACTTTGACCTGTTTACTTGAAAAGACAATATTTTTACCCACAATCTAAAGTTTCAAACATATATTATTTATAAAGTGTGCCCCATTAATTCATTTCACTCATTCCATATTAAAAGACACAGATCATCTCTCTGTATTTTCACACTCTGTACAAATACTGGTGCAGATTCTCAGTCATCCAGTACATGGCAAATCCCAAAAAAAGGTTAAAGACAAAAACAACTGGACTTCTATTCTGTAGCTGAAGATGTTTTGCTTCCAAGGACCTTTCTCAATTCAAAGAAAAGGGAGTGTGGAGTCGAGTTATGAAGCTGAGGTGTTCTGTAAGCTAAATTCACATGCGGATTGCCCTCTCACTCCTCACAATAGAGGTTTGTTAGGGTCTTTGTTTGACTCATAGATGGGCCACTCTGAACACATGAATGAAGGTCCTGATTGGAGTGAAAATAACTGGGAATCAGGCCTAAAGTTGCATTATAAGGTTTTGAAAGGAAAACTCAGAGACCTCCTCCTCTGTTTAAGGTTGGTTTCTCTCTTGTTACATAAATGGCTTCTTTCACCCCCCCCCCCCCCCTCCCCCTCAAACCATCTGTCTTCATGGTCCAAAATGTAAACATTTTGGTCCTCAAAAAAGTGTCTCTTATCCTTGAGTTGTAGGTGAACTGCTGAGTCTCGTCCTGAAGAGCTGGCTCTCCTGTGCTACAACATGCATCTGTAAAGAAGCTGTTTGGTTTCTCCAATATAGAGTTAGTGGGGAAGTTGAGTGATCTGTGGTACAGACCCCTAACTCGTGCTCCAGAGTACAGTACTACTGTTTCAAAAGATCATACTGCAAAGGACATATCTGAGTTTCCAATTACTCACCTTCTCCTCAACTTCCCTTTCAGTCCTGAACCTGTTGCTGCACCTGTAAATAAAAATCTCTTTATTTTTGTATTTCTGACTCTGTCATCCTTCTCAGTCTGCTTTTCTTGGGGTCAACATTAATATAATTGTGATAAATGTTGGCTGATAAGACAGAAGTGCCTCACCAAATGCCTCAGGTGATGCCATGAGCTTCACTACCTCCACCATTACAGCTATCTTTGTTTGTTTGGTTGGTTGGTTTTTTGTCCAAGACTAGCTCACCCTTCGGTTACATTTCCTTATGAGCGGAGCGATCATACCATTCACGTAAAATATTTGATAATGTTCTTATAGAAACTATTCCTGTTGCTGTTCATACTGTGTTAATGCTACATGTTTGTCTCTTGGCCGTACAACTGGGTAAGGTTACAGTAGACCTAGCCCACTACTGGAGTTTAATTAGGTATTTTAAGTTACTAATAAACACGATGGATGATGATCATATTGCTTTATGCTAGGCCATTGGTAAGGAAGGAGTGATTATTATTATAGTTTCGTATTGGCTAGTGATTTTTATTTCCTAAAAGTTAACTTAGGCTACACTATAGTATGTTTCTTAGAATGTGGCTAGGATGTGTGAGAGAAGTGGCTCATGCTCTACTCCACACAAGGGGTGCTGTTGGTCAGGCTACTTCTTATTGTCCCATTAACTCAAAAATATTTATTGAGTCAAGTGTTTACTTATATAGGTAAAGCTAGATGTAAAAAAAACCAAACAAAAAAAAACATTAAAATATACCAGAATGCAGGAAATGGCATCTACTTTATTGAAAATTTAATGGTAGGGGACACCCACCCCCCCCCCCCCCCCCCCCCCCACCACCACCACCACCACCAGTAGCAGTGTGTCTCCACCCCCCACCCCCACCCCCCATTACAAATGCTTCCAATACCAATGGCCACTGCATTGTTCAAGCCAAGAGCCATTGTCAGCACTGGGGGCATTGTAGAATTGCCCCTGAAGTAAAATACTTACATGATCTTAATAATAACAGGTTGTGATCTAAAGTGGGCCAGATTGAGGCATGAAACTCAAGGGCTAAAAATGAGTACCACTCTGGCCCTGTATATACATCACCCTTGTTCTTCTAAATGTGCACCATCACACGTTTCCATTCCTCAGGCATTTTCACCTTCAAATATGCCATTGAATATATAGTCAAAAACCTCACTGCTGTCTCTAAAACATTTCCAAACTTCTGCTGGTATGTCATTAGGTTCTACTGCTTTTCCCTTCTTCGTTCTTTTCAGAGATTTCTGAACTTCACCCTCACAAATTTTTCCAACTCCACAGCTTCTACAACCTCTACTCTTTCTCTTTCATTCTCTTCATTCATTAGCTCCTCAAAATACTCCTTCCATCTCCCCCGTCTCCTCACTTGTTAGAGCATTACCATTCCTATCTTTCACAAGCCTAAACTGCTGCACATGATCCTTTCAAGGTTCAAGTTTCAAAGTGACTTTATTGTCATTCACATCACATGTGGTGCATGATGTGGAACGGAATAGTGTACTCAGTGTCCCAGTTACTTCCCAAAATAACGATGATATAAAGTATAAAAAAATAACCAGCATACAATGATTTAAAATATACACAAAACAATAATAATATAATATGGTGTATTAAACAACAGCCTGAACAGTCTGTTGTGAGCACATGGGTGTGAATATAGCAGCTTATGGGTAAGAAATCAGCAGCATGGATAATCAAAGATAAAGTGTCAAACCTCCAATTAAAGTGTCATTACAGTGATTTTTCTGGTTAGGGATTTATGAGTCTATCACCTTCAGGGTAGAAGCCTTATCTCTCTGTCTCACCAGTTAGTATAATCCCTCTTTTCCACTAGTGCCACTATAGCATGGTTCAACTTGGCTCAACTCTGTTCAGCACGTTACAGCTGGTTTTCCATTACGGCTCTCATTACGGAGCAGGACAGAGACACAACACTAGATGGAGCTAGACACAAGGAAAGCACAAACCCTATAAAGGGGAAGCAGCTGCCATGAGACCCTCTGGGGATTCAGCTGCCATGGGTTCCTTTGGGGATGCAACTGCCATAGTTTCCTTTGGGGATGCAGCTGCCATGGGGTCCATAGCTGAACAGGAGAGAGATAAGCCTGCCTGGACCCCTTCAGCAGGACAGCACTGAGAAGAGTTCACTTGGAACTCCACTGAGACACTTGGGAATGGAAAGATGTCTGGTCCTATCCCCACAGTGACACTTGGAGGTGGGGCATCAGGACCAGACCAAAGGAATGGTGAAGCTTCTAGTCCAACCCCCATGGAGACAGAGGTAGGGCATCGGGACTGGCCTTCACAGAGACACAGGTAGGTGGTGAGGCTTCTGGTCCAAACCTCACAGGGAAACTCAGGGTTGGGGCATTGGTATCAGCCCCCATGTAGACACAAGAAGGTGGTGAGGTACCTGGTTCAATCTCCACAGAGGAACTCAGAGGTGGGAATTTGGGACTAGTACCCACTGAAGCACTAGAAAATGAAGAGTCAAGTTTTGGGACGGAGTCTGGTTGTGAGACTGGAACAGAGTCTGGGTCTGCTGCAGGGGAGTCTGGGTCTGCATCAGGGGAGTCAGGAGCTGAGCCTGGCTCAGAAGCTGAGCCCGGCTGAGGAGCTGAGCTTCTGGGCCCTTTCTGCCGTCAACCTATCCTGCATTGAGGGCGGTGTGGACCAAGAGGGGGCCAGAGCTCCTCTTTGAGCTCAGTGTCTCCCTCGAACATCTGGGATGAGGACTCGGGTGGCGGGACATGGCGAGGATATGATCCCTCAGTCGACTCAGGTGAAGGGCTAGGACTGTTGGAGGTCAGGGCAGAAGATTGTCAGAGGAGCGACTCCGACCAGCTCTTTTGCTCCAGCACCTCATCCAAGAACTCCTCCACACCAGGAGTCAAATAGCCCAGGGAGGTGAATATATTCATTCAACATGACCTCTGTGGTCACCCACCTTTCCCACAGATTACTGGAGGTGGCCGTGTCTACATATCTCTGGGTTATGTTGCAAAGCCACAGATAATCCTCATCAGAGAGTCCAGACATAAATGGCTTGCCTGCTGGGTTCATGTTTAGTCCTGGCATTCTGTCACAATGGGCTGGTGCTGGTGAACCCAGTGGTGCAGGCAAGCAGGCGAGGACTCAGGCTAAATATATGTGTCTATGTCTTTAGAGATTGTACTGCATTAAAGTCCTTGGGCTCAATTTTTACACCCTCTGCAGATACAAAGTAACATACATACCTTACTTCTCTGCAAAACAGTTCACATTTTTTGGGTCTCAACTTGACACCATGTCTCTGGAGTGCTCTCAAAACCTGTCTGACACCCTCCAAATGCTCTTCAAATGTTGGTGCATAACACAAAATGTAGTCCAAGTATGGTGTAATAATGTGGCTATTTGTGTTTTGCTTTTTTTTTTTGCATGTTTAAACTTGCTACTCTGTTCATTTTTTTTTAGGCTGCCACCTGTGTTGCAGCCAGCGACATTTGACAGCTCTCACAGGTGTTCCCCATCAGCTATAATAACATGGAAGCCAGGAATGGGGAGATAAAAAGAGCATGTCAGTGTGAGAGGGGCAACGCAGTGGCGGAACGGCCGGAACGGCGGACGCGCACAGCCACCACCGAGGGGTGGGAGGTGCATTGGCCAGGGAGCACAATGGCCAGGTACACAACCACCGCTGA